CTAATCAATGAAAAGAATATCACGATAAGTTGGATTCCTAAGTAATTGACTTTATGTCGTACTGATTTTCTGACGGTAAAATGTGGAGAAAACCAGGAGAACTGTAACTGAGAATAATTACTAAAAATATTGACTCATCACAGAGCTGGCCAAGTATCAAACTTGGGTGAGCCGCCTGTGTTACAAGTTCTTTTACTTGACGGAAAAATCAACAATATCCATGTTCGATACAAGCTTAAAATACGTTTATGATAACAAAGTTAAACATTTCTTAAAATCTTGGATTCAATGGACGTTCATATCCACAGTCCATATAAAGAATTAGCCTTGAAACGAATTAAAATCAAATAATTAAGTCAATTATCGGATCTTTAGACGTGATATGAATTTATTATCTCGAAGATAGCATCGAACTTAGGTAAGTACCTGAGTAATCTATCGAGTGTGTAAATGCTATAAATGTTTATCGAATGTTAAATAAATAACTGGAATGTAATATAACAATAAAGTATAAAGGATAATTGAAGTAAGTACATTACCACGTATTACTCTGTCTATAGTTAGGTACTGGTGTCGATTCTGGCACGATTCTCTAAATCGAAACTTAAATTTGTCAACAGTGTTTCCTTGTCATTCTCTATACAGAATGAAAAAGAGAGACTGATGTTTAATTTAGTTTTAAGTTTAGAGAATCACGGCAGAATCGACACAACTATCGAACAAATTGAAATAGAAAGCTTTATTCTCATGCTGAGTACAATGGGCAATGGTGTTACAAGTAATGTCTTAGTTCTAAACAGCTGCCCGTTTCGGACGTACAATATTCATCATCGGCGGTAAATGCTATTAAAAATGTCGAAAATACACTTTTAAATTGTAAAAACATTTGTTTAGTAACCATTTCTTCAATTTTATTTTAATTTCCAATAAATTTAAATCTTTAATGTCGTTAGTTTTGTGTAGACGATTTTGTTCAATGTTGATATCTTTTTGTTGCAAGCAGAAACTATGCCAGTCTGATCTGTAATATCTGGCTTACCTGGAGCAAGTGGATTTTTTTTCTCTTTATTTATGGCTACAAACAGTCATACATTTTAATATAATTGTTCTGTGGTTACAGTGAAATTATAAGAGACGACCTACAGTGCCAGCATAATAAAATTAATAATTTCCATTTATTATCCTTACTATTTACTCCTGTGAAAAATATGAAAGCAACATTACAGAAATACAAATTCGTTCTGTGTTCACATTACATTAAATATGATTGTTCGGTATATTAAAAATAAATACTACACAATTAGTGGAAGAAAAGAAATACCTGAGAGATGAGAATCACGTTAGGTTAAAACTAAGTCTAACTTAAATTTACGTTTTGGTTTGAGGCTTTCGCATTACGTTTTATCGAATAAAGGTAACTGCATCATTTTTAGTCCGGGTGGGTTTACTTTAGTCCTTTTTAAACGTCTGCAGGCCTTTGGAAGAAGAGATAAACCTCTCTCTCTTACTGTTCACCAACTATCTTACTGACAGAAAACAAAGGCACTTTGATGTTTTTTTTCTATATGGCTTCGCTCGGTTTGTGCATTTAGCCAATGTCAAGTGTAAAATGTTTACATATTCTATAGCACTCGTGGTCAAAATATTAGTCAATTCAAAGTAAGTGGCAATCAAGTCAATCCCCCTTTCCCTATGTTTCAGTCAATGTGTGGGGATTTACTGGAACCTCCCCGTGGACTTCTTGAGGGAACGTCGAAAGACACTTTCCGCTATTTTATTTCACTTGCCAACACTTATGCATGTTTCCGAACACTTAGTGGTTAATAATCCACCATTATTAGACACTAACATCCGTCACAACACAATTTTTAACAAGAAAAACAAAACTGCTAAAGTGACGCTTCCCGATCCCACCAAAAAGTCCACTTTGATAGGTATGTGACTTGTTGGATACCGATTACGGTGTCCCGCAGGGAGGTGTATTAGCACCAACACTATTCTTAATATGTATAATGTTGACGAACTATGTAATATGTGAAGCTAATAAATGGCAAAACCTTTTCTTAAGCTGACGATACGGCTATAGTGTTTACGGGGGACACCTGGGGATTTGTAAGAATGTCTGTGGAATTGGGTCGAGCCATGCTAGCTAAATCTTCTAAATCTTTTCACGTTAAATATTTCTAAAACAAAATACATATGTTTTGACATGTATAGAAGCACCCAACCAACATCATCATAATTCATTGAAGAAGCAACATGGCCGGCAGGGTGAGGATAGCTGGTATGGAAGGTAGAACTGCTGTATCAGCTATCTTCGCATCTGGACTTCACCTTCACTTAACATCAGGTGGGGTGGTCTCATTTGTCGGACCTATCTATAAAAAAAAAACTATATTATACGAAAATCTTCTTGCTGTTATCGTCAGATAAACTTGTCAGTATAAATATGATGTACTTAGATAATTTGATGTTAATGTTTAGTACACTTAATATAAATAACACTATTTGTATTTATACTGTATGACAATGCAATCATAACGCAGGTAAACAATTAATGTACATTTAATCATTATGTAATGAAAGGTGACTTCATGAATCATCTCTGAAGTCATTGTTCAACTTGACAACGGACGCTGTAAATAATAAAACAGGGAGAAAAGAAGAGTTTCTTGCCGGTTCTTCTCGTCCGGCCGGTAAGGTCTAACGTCGTAGATTTACGAACCGCGCTGGCGTAGCTTCTGGACATTTATGAGTGCTTGTAACAGCCTGAACTGAATAAATGATTTGGATTATGCCTATAACTTTAGTCGAAATTAACCTAATACTCTCACCGCGAAATAATTTTTGCTCGTTTCAGAAATCTGTAATCATTAATGACTACTAAAAATCTTCTCTTTTTTTTAATTATTTATTTTACAAGTATCTATATAAATTTTACTCAAAAAAATATTAATTTCTGATACCTATCAGACAGACCTGTAACCTCCGATTACTCGTTAAATTTTAATTACTAAATTATTAAGAAATAATTATGATAAAACTATCACGTTTTGTTAGCGCGGCCGCGTGACCTAAAATTGATTGAACACAATTCGATATCGTCTGAACGCTCTTTTATTGACTTCAATAGGACATTGATATTGGTGCTAAACTTATAGCAAGCAATTCCTTGACAATTGAATGTGTTCGCTGCCACGATTTGTTAACATGAATGAGCAGTAGAGTGCATGGTTAGACCACTTTTTTGTAAGTTAGAATATCAGGTTTTCTTATTTAGTACTTCCCTATATAGTTCTCTATAGCTATCGTTACCACATTTTGAAAACAAAAGTGAAGCTATAATTTATTGAAGAGAAACTTCTTCTCGGACGACGTGTAAATGGAAAAATCCTATGGAAAAGATGAAACGGAAATGCGTCACGACTATTTATATGTACATATATATATATATATGTACATATATATATATATGTGTGGGATGCGTGCACAGCTCTTCCCGACGGACAAGAAAGTTGGAGGGTAACTTTGCGAAGGCTGAAACGCTACCAGCGTCAAACACGGCAATATATATGAGTGATGCGTGCGTTGCTTCATTCCCCTATCTAATGTTAGGTTATTGTAGAAAGAAAGTTTCACTTCAGATTCAGTGGTCCTGGCACATATTTTTTTTGTGTATATTTGGTGGATCTGAGAAGAGAAAGAGAGGAAGAGAGGTCGTAGGCTATACTTATACATAATATAATATATAATATTTTCTATACACCTAGATGATAAGATAACTGATAAGGGTGAGCCCTCCTCAGTTTATATTTTTCGGTAATTGTTTTCGTTCATCGTTAGCATGTCTCGACACATTTTTAATTGTTATAAAAAAATCATAATTTATTAACATGCATCGGTGCCGATGGTTCAGTCCTAGGAAGTTCAACTGCATCGTGAGCGGACCGGGATTGATTCCCAGCCAATCAAGGACTTTTTTTGTAATTTCCACTTTTATAAGGCAGAAACCAAATTTTGGTAAAACTTTTAAAAGCAAGCTCCTTAATAACCTAAGGTAGAAGACCTGCAACATAATAACAACACAAAGGTTCCAATGGCGAAGTGACGAGACTAATTTTGTGGTTACTATAAAAAAAGTTTTGTCTGATGCGATCTTTGTTGATTTCGGGTAAAGATTAGAGGGAGAAAAGAAGCCATTAGTATTTACATATTCTTTCCATACTTCAATGAGTACAATAGAAAGCATTTGTAGCCCTTTTAAGTAAGCGCTTTAGGAAACACAATTTATAACTCTTCCAACTTGGGCTTTTGGCCTTTTGAATAAGTAGGTAGGTTTATGTTTAGATAAATCAGTCTTTAATTTTAAATGCGAAAATGTGTCTGTCTGTCTATTACCTCTTCACGCTAAAACCACTGATCGATTTAGATGAAATTTGGTATGGAGATAGTTGGAGTCCCAGAAAAGCACAATAGTTTTTATTGTAGAAGTTTGTATGGGAAACCCCTTTTGTTTCACCTGTAGGTAAAAAGGCAACCCAAAGACGAATTCCTGAAAAAAAATGCAGATGGCATTAAAAAAGGAAACTAGTTAAAAAACCACAGATCTCATGCTCTACACGAATTGAAAGAGCATTGAAAATAAATATACCTATTATAGAATATTAAAGAAAAAAAAAACAACTTTTCCAAAATATTTTTACATTATCTTAAAGCCCTACAAAATGGGGGCCTACTGGGCCCATTTTTTTCTACGAAAAATAATTTTCTATGACTAAACTTACTTGTCAGAGATTATATTAAAGTAATAAAAATACGTCTACAGTTTTTTTCTCTTTTTTGGTACTCAGATGCCTACAGACTGACTTCTATAATATTAATAACAAAAATGACTATTGACCTTTTAAAAACTTTCGTCATATTGCCCAAAATATTTGAAATATTTAGATAATTTTAATCCCTATAAAGATCACACATTACACACTAATTTTCACACATATCAAAATACGTGTCCTTTGGGGCAATACGTAAGTGTACACCAGATTTTAAAAAAAAAGTATTTTTGAACATATTACATTGCTTAAACTTTCAAAAATCTTCCAAAACCGTGTTCATTGCTGAGCACATCGCAACACGGTGTCTTAAAGGAGACCAATACCCATAAGAATTTGAATAGCTTCAACACTGTGTGTATGCAAATGGAAAAGGGTGAACACAAAACAATCGGATGACACAAGTGAGCTCTCACTTGACCGGTCCCGCGCGGCAGTACACAGCCAACGCTCACGTCGAGCGAACTCATGTCGCTCATCGCAACACCGGCCGTTATCGTAACAAAAAGTTTGAATTAAACAACCGCGCGCGTTTCATTGTGAATGAAAAAAAAAAGTGGATTTGCAACCTCAAAGTGAATTTGTTTTAAAAAAAAAAGCCAGATTTTTGTGTTTGGAATTGGGTGAAGAAACTTTTTCGAGTGCTTCTATAGAATATCTTTCCGAGAGAAAGATAAAAAATAGTTGATAACAAAATCGATAGTCAATATTTGGTTGTTCGATTCTCGGTGAAACAAGTGATGCAACGGGCGTAATCGTGGATCATGGATGTGGAGTTGTAATCAAGTTTTGGTCTGAGCCAGGTGAGTCGTGCATCTTTTTGCGAATTCGTTAAACGGGGTCGCTGACTTTCGTGCACAGAAGCTTTTTGGTTTCGATTAAAAGAAAATGTACGTATTGATTAAATAATAAAGTTGAATAAGGAAATTCAATATATCTACGTGATTTTACAAAGAATAAAATAATGAGAACACTGCGTTATTTTATTGCTTTAAAAAAACCAAATACATAAAGTAGAAAGAAAATATTACTAGAAAAAATTCCACGCGGACCAGGCAGCAGACGGGACTCGAACCCGCACCCTTCTTTAGACTTAAACATCAACAATTAACTTGCTTAAAAAAAATAAATTATAAGTACATAAAGTAGATTCCGTGGGTAAATTTTAAACTAGGTGCTTTCGAACATACAGACATACAAATTATTGTTTTAATTAAAAATACATTCAATAGAAGTGAATGCTTAATGCAGTATGTATATATCACTTAAGTGCGTCAAATTTTTACCACTGAGACTTAATTAGTTAATATTTTTAAAGTCACCATACCGTTGAGAACTTCTATTATCTAAGGATTTCACGGCTTACCATTAAACTGAAGCATTTAAACATACGGAAACCGTTATGAGCACGACAAATAAGTTAGTTTTCTCATAAGTATAATATTTCAAGCAAATTTAAAAACTAAATTCACTATAAAACTAGTATCGAAATACGCTTTCACGCAAGGATGTTCTATACTTTCGAATTCAGACATCTCCGCATGTATCCAAAAGTTATACCTACCTATATATTTATCAAAAGTTCGAGCACATTTGCATTTTTTTTTTCGTAATATTGGTATCGGATTCTGGCATGATTCTCTAAACCTAAACTTAAATTTGGCAACAGTATCCTTGTCATTCTCTATACAGAATGAAAAGGAGAGACTGATGTTAAATTTAGTTTTAAGTTTAGAGAATCACGCCAGAATCGACACCATCGTATGCATTATTCAACAGCCCTTGCCCGAACCGAAATAAAGTTATTAAGGTACTGTTGTTTACAATCATGTGGTACCAGTAGGTCAAGTTTCGAAGTGTATTCTTATTTTTTCCATCGCAGTCTAGACTAAAACTTGCATGCAATACCTTTCTAAATGCACCATCTATACCGCGAACCTACCCAGAAAATTTGCTGCCGAATAGTAATTTATTTTTATGGTTATGACGAGTCAGCCAGAATAACACGTTTCACTTATTCCACATATGTAGGTATCTTTATATATCACTTATATTTATAAATTTTATTATTTTTAAAGCATGTAACTGCTTGATGTTTAAATCTAAAGAAAATATAACTAGAAAAATTGTGGGTTACCTATAATGCGAAGAGATGGCGCTGCCTTGCAGCTTAAGAATGGCTAGAAGAATTTCGACGCGGTCCGTGAGGGCCGCGGTAGCATAATTGGTCAGTGCATTCGCCCGGATTGCGAAGGGTGCGGGTTCGAGTCCCGTCTGCTGCCTGGTCCGCGTGGATTTTTTTCTAGTTATAATTTCACTTATATTTACTTGGGTTAGTAGGTATACACTTGAACTGCACTGTTTTAAAACATATTCCACTAAATCTACTTTTAAAAAAAAAACTGCTGATTACAAAATGGCTTCGAAAATATCTTACCCAGAAATTCCTCTCGAATTTAAAATATTAAAATTAGATTTAATTTCAGCTTTGTTTGTTAAAATTGACTATTGTGATTGATTGGTCACGTCAAATACATAGCAAAATGTAGCAAAATTTGACAATTGATTGCTTTTCTTTAGTATTTTAACTATGTATCAAATAACGCAAGTTTAATCTATTTATCTAAGGACATACAAAATTGCTTAAATATTCTCTGTTATTACTTACAGTCCACCTAAAAGGCGATCAATATGAGTTTCTTATGTTTTTTTTTCAAAATAAAAAAGTGTTTTTTTTTTCTTTTTTTATCTAACTTAAAGGCAAAGGTAGCTTCCACATAATACTATTAGTCACAACAATTACAATTATTCCGTTAGGTAAGTACTATTGAATCACCTTACGATTAAATAAATATTGAAATTGATAATGATGTCATGTATTGAGTTTGACTTGTATTGTCTCAGCTATGTGATAGAAGAATACTTTTTTGTTTGGTCCCTCAATTGTTATCACGTAACTGCTCTATTTATTAAGAATTTGGTAGGTATCTTCTACAATAAACTTAGTATCGTATTATAAACATTAGAAAGTAAATAAAAACTGGATATTCCTTAAGATATTTTTGAAGTGAAAACTTCTTTAGCGGCGTTGTACACTTTTTTTGTATGGGTAAAAACTATTAAACTCGCGTCAGGTTAGACACGTGGGCTGATCGCATCACGACATACAATAAAATTGGAAAGGTTGTTGACTTTCAATATATCGGACGAAACGTAGTAATATTTTATTTTACCGTATTATAATAATAAGTTTCCATCTAGGACGTCCACGTGGCAGCTTTATTGCGAAGAAAATGCATTTTTTTACAATAGATGTCGCTAGGTGCGCTTAAATGTAATTCATATAAGTTGATTTCTTTACAATAGATGTCGCTAAGTGCGCTTAAACGTGTTAAAGTTGATTTTTCTGAGAGATAAACTTTTTTAATGTAATATAAATTCAATGTCATGTTTGTGTACGATGGCGCAATAAATAAATATTGTATTCTACCACATACATGATAGTACTTTTATACTGATAATTAAAGCAATTCGTGCAAAATTATTCCCTAACCATTCCAAAATATCAAAAACGCACAACGTTAATAAACCGTCGTTTTTTTCCTGTATTATTTATATTACTATTTTTTACTTTAATTATTCTTAATATTTTTTATTACAGTCAAAGTTATTCTATTAACTATATTATTTATTATAAACAAGGTAAAATAATTTCGATTCTGATATTATTATTATTGACATATTTTTCTTATTTCTGTGCTACAAACTCGGATTAGTTTGGGAATTTAAAAACTGTAGTGAATTGTCGACAGTTTATTATTCTCCATTACACTTAATTATTATTTTTGATTCAAAATAATTTAGAAGTACTTAGCAGTTTTTGTTTAGAGTAAGCACACAGTTGCAGTTGCTTCTATTAACGATAGCTTAGGATTGCTTGGTAGAATTACGGAAAACCAGAGAAATAAAATACAGGATTATAATTTTTATTATTTTTAAAGCATGTAACTGCTTGATGTTACAGGATTATTTTTTTTTCTAGTAAACTTTTCTACAGGATTAGGGTTCAGTGACAACTATATTAGAGAACGAACAAAGGCACGTGCCCTTAGCACGAACCAATGTCGAATTCGTATCATTTGCGAGTACGAAATGTCATTGTCAAAATAAATGTCTACTGATTTTTAGTTCTCATGTTCAAGTTTTCATACAAAATTTGACAATGACATTTCGGACTCGCGAACTATTCGCATTTGATAATGGTTCGTGCTAGGGGTACTGAGTAAACCGAATAATGACTAATAAATACGTAGAAAAAAGTCAAAAAGAGTATAAACAATAAGAGTATCTTTGCGAGTACGAAATGTCATTGTCAACATAAATGTGTAGGTACTGATTTTTAGTTCTAATGTTCAAGTTTTCATACAAAATTTGACAATGACATTTCGGACTCGCGAACTATTCGCATTCGTTAATGGTTCGTGCTAGGGGTACTGAGTAAACCAAATAATGACATAAATACGTAGAAAAAAGCCAAAAAGAGTATAAGAAAAAATACAATAAGAGTATCAAAAACTATAAAATAAGTGTGCAACAGCTTCATTGATTTGAAACGTGAGATTCGATCAAAACGATAAAGAAATGTGTAAATACACAGAGATGCCATAGTCGAGATAGTTCGTATCATTCTATCGTAACAAGATAACTTCTGAGAGATAAGGAATTAGCACAAACAATTTTAAAAAGTAGGAGATTAAAATTAAACCATTTTGAAAGAACTCTTTCCTTTGGTGTTTTAATCCAAGAGAATTTTCAAGAATGGACTTCAACCTTAACTCCTATAATCTCAGAATTAAACCGATTTGACATTGAGAAATGTTTCTTAAATATTTATTGCATTGATTAACAAACTATAAATCCGCAACTAATTTAATAAATTAAATTGTAGGCACGCTCTATAGTTTATTCCACGAAAGCAACTTTTAAAAAATACGACTAATCGATCATTTCGATCAATAAATTGTCACTAGCGGAAGTTTGGACAGTTGATTTTAATTATAAATACAAATTAATAATGTGGTTTTTATAATACATTTTGTTTCTCATTCCTTACATTGCAAGAGCATAGCTTATAAACGTACCTATACAGGGTGTAAAAAACCTATGACAACGACTCAAACTGTACACCCAAACAAGTTATATTACAAAATAATAAACGTGAGAAAAATTTGTATATTTTTTAAGTTAAAAAAATAGACTTTTTCCAGTACGCAATTTATAGCGCGCGCGCTACTGTGGCGCTACGCAAAGAATGTGCCTGTGCGTGCGTCTATAAAAAAGTTTCTAAATAACGTTTTGAAAGTATTAATGTAAAAATCTTGAAAAAAAAATGTGACTGACCTTCAATATCTCCATAACCATAAATTTCCCAGGTATGGTCCATAAGTAAAAAATGATCATCATAATATGGAAAATACGTGGCCTTTGACTTCGTTAAAGGTTTTTTTACACAAATATTACAAGACATCATACATGTCCTTCAAAATCACTGTAAATAAAGAAAAGGAAGAAACATTTTTGATTGAAAGCTTCCGGCCGATTGAGATTGTATACAGACACCTTCGAGTCAAAAGACACAACTTTATCACTCTTTTTTTTTTTGTCTGGGAAATGCCTTACGCATCCTACAACCACCGGGGGAGCGAGAAGAAGGTATGTGGGACTCCTCTCTGCTCATTTCAGCCAGCCCTTAGGCCGGGTGAAATGAGCAGGGCCCTACCTAACGCCCTGAACAGGGCCACTA